TGCCCCCCGTCAGGAGACGAAAGGCTCACGTGCAGACCCAGGGCCCGCCTACAGCCCAGCGGGCGTGATAGGGCTTTTAATCGTCAAAACACGCTTCTGACGAGTTACAGGCACAATCTGAATAGGACAACTTCTCGATTTTTTTTTTTTTATAATAGTTAAAAAAAATCTAAAACCAAGCCTTATCCTTAATGCTCCTTGAGAGTAGTTAGCCGATGCCTCTGACCCCTCCGGGGCGGGCCGCACACGCACGCTGGGAGAAGATGTCACACGCAAGTGACATTCCTTGCAAGCTCTGCCCCGGCCCGGGTCGAAGCCAGCCAGCATCCGCAGCGAGATTCGCTGTGGCTCGTCCCACGTCACGCACAGTGCTAACACGTGTCACTTCGTGACAACGTGCCGAGCCTGTGGCTGAGTCCGGTGTGCGCGAGGTGATTTAATCACGCCCTGTCCGGTGGGTGACACTGTAATCTCATTTCGGACAAGATAAAGAAGGCTAAGAGACGGAGAGATAAAACAGCTCGGCTTAGGTCCAGCCAAGTGGGTGGGGGTCGGGGGGAGGGGAGGCCCGGGTCGACCAGCGTCCAGAGGCCTCACTTGAAGTCACTACACTCTACGGCCTCCGGCGTGCTGCACGTGTGACAGGCCTGCATCGTATCTGGTTATGACCTTGGGACGATCCGGTGCAGATGCTGGCTCTGCCCCAGTGGGGTAGAAACCAAAGGCAAGTCAGAGAGAGGTAGACTGTGTGTAATATTCAGCACCTCGCTCGTTAGCACTTTGCCTGTTGGCACCTCACACCGACCCTCTGGGGGAGCAAAAAACATGTATTCGAGTTAAAGGAAATGCCTCAGATTGTCTCCCAGGCAGACAAAAAAAGCACCTTTCAGTTTTGACTTCATTGAAATTAAGAGACTGAGAAATCAGAACCACTTGACCGTCTCTCTCTGGTGGCTCCTTGGCTCGTACCCGTGTCTGGGGTGGGGACGGAGCAGCCTCAAGCTCAGAGGCAGCTGGGCGAGGGCAGGGCACCCTCCCCGTAACCCCCACCCCCCGGGGAGACACACGAAGCGGGAACTTACGGAGGAGATACTCGGCCGTGTCCTGCTCGTAGTCGGCATCCTCTGGGAAGTGATCGATTTTCTTGCACACCCCTCGGAAAGTCCCTGTGGAGACAGACACGGTCCTGAGCTGCGGGAGGACACGGCGCCTGGGGCCCAGCCTGGGTCCTCCCTGCCAGGGCGAAGGCACACCCGGCGTTCCAGGCTGGCCGTGAGAGACACGTTTTCCTCAGGACACAGAAAAGAGACGGGAGGCGGGCGGGGGTGGGGAGGGGAGGCAGAAGCCAGGCATGTC